AAACTATTTAAAGCTATGAAACTGAAACCTTAACATTAGAATCATATCATTGATTACCACATAGTCCAGTGAAGGCAAAAGCAGAATACAGCCACTCATGTAATTCTGTTGTGATACCAGCATGTGCATTTGCCCCATCCACCCCAGCGTTTGAAAGACATTTTAGCCAGAAAGCCTTTCTGAGACCTACTCAGCTGAGTCTAAGGAGGAGGAGGAAGGATCTTCTACATTTCATCACAAAAATTTGTCCATGGATCATTAATAATGAGGACATATAAGAAGGTGGTTTTGAGGGTAATTATCCAACTATGACAGACCTATATCGATATTCAGGTTTGTTTCTTGCCCTTGGCAATCCCCTCTGCAGTCCTCCTTGGAAACAGGCTACATCCTGAGAAGGACAGGTAGATAGAAATCATACAAACTGGAAAAGAAAAAGATAAAGCTAGAAATAGACATACTTCTTTTCAAAATCATAATAATATGGCCTTTGCAACGTGTTCTTACCCAAAAGTATAACATTTTGATATATATATATATTTTACAAACATACATGTACACAGGAACAGTCAAGACTTCTCTAAACCAAACTTGCTTATCCAAATAAGTGAGATCAAAGAAAAATTCTTCATCCAAACCCATTACCTACTGTGCCTTTAAATTTTTTTTTTTTTCTTTTTAAACCTGAATACACCACAAAAGCTAGAGAAAAACCCTTAACCATAATTTTGTTTTTTTCACTTGAAGAACAAATAGGGTTATGTTTCCTCCAACGCTCAGGACAAAGTGTGTGTGTGAATTTATATAAGAGGGAGAGAGCTATATGGCAACCTATCTACTGTATCCAGTCTGAAATGCATCTTTCTAAATGCAGCAAATAACCTCAAGGACCATCCCCCACAGGTTTTAGTATAGCATAAGGTACAATTATGAAAAGAAAGATATTCATTTTTAAACTGGCATTGCTAGGTCCCCATTTCCATGCAAGTAAGAATAATTGCTTTACTTCTAATAATAGCTGATAACTTGAATCTGACAGCCCTCCCAGGACTCGAGATTATTTAGTCACTCTTGTACTAGAAAACCAAATGGACTTTACGAATATCCTATGACCAAAAGCTGGACCTTTTCTTGCCATGTCCTCATCTATTAGGTTTCTGTTCACGTTGCATAGTCTCTATAGCAGAACACAACTGCCTCTCCAAGAAACAAGAGGTGTCCTTCCCCTCTTTGCTGTCCTGTTGCAGTAGGACCCATGACAATTGCAGCCCCTAATCTTTTGTGATGGGTTGGGGGAGTACAGGGTGACAGGCATCTTGCTACTGCCCTCAGTGTACAATTCATTTCAGCACAACACGGGAACAAAGGCAGAATTCACATCCTTCACTCATCTTGTACCAGCTCACAGGGCAAAGAAAACACTTGAAATGTACCAAGCAGCATCTTAAAAGGGATGTAAGAATTGATAATCACAAATATGAGGTTGCTAGGTATACCAGAATACTAGAAAGTTATTTCCTGATCTGAAATTCTTGACCTAGAAAAAAATTCTTCTAACACCTTTACTTTGGGCTGCGTGCAAGTTATACATAGAAAATACATACAGAATTATTATAAAACTATTTTGGATACCATATTGTGATTGTAAGTATTGAAAAAAATAACTCTGGGAAATAAAGGATCAAAGCATTAATAATGTTTCATCTAATTACATTAAACAGCTTTAAGTAAAAAATATACAAGATTTCTCTTTATCACATCATAAAAGATATTAAAACTGATTTACTATATATGCTCAATGAAAAGGAGGAATGGTTTCACCCAAGACAATGAAGCAATACCAACACCAATTCAGCTAAAAAAAGACAACTAAGTTCTTTCTTGTAGTGGTCCAGAATTTTATCCAAATTGTGATTGTAAGTATTGAAAAAAATAACTCTGGGAAATAAAGGATCAAAGCATTAATAATGTTTCATCTAATTACATTAAACAGCTTTAAGTAAAAAATATACAAGATTTCTCTTTATCACATCATAAAAGATATTAAAACTGATTTGCTATATATGCTCAATGAAAAGGAGGAATGGTTTCACCCAAGACAATGAAGCAATACCAACACCAATTCAGCTAAAAAAAGACAACTAAGTTCTTTCTTGTAGTGGTCCAGAATATTTTATCCAAAACATTTTCAGACAAAGTTATCTTATGTAAATATATATAAAAAAAGTACAGTGTCTTAAAAATTGTGAAAATCAGAATTGCTAAAAACAAAAAAGTAAACCTAAGCTTTTAGTTGCCAATTTTTTTTTTAAGCCATCAATACCTTGTTTCTTTTGGGAAACAAGCAGAAAAATCAAAACCTCAGAAAAAGTATTTTTCAGGAGTGGTTTTAAAGTTTCTAAAGAAAAAAATCTTTCTTTTACTTTATTCTTCTATAGAACAATTTTTTGTGAACACTACTTACTGTTTACCAACATTTAAAAAAATAGAAATTATTATGGATTGTTAAGCAGTCAGAATGAAAATGACTTGTCACAAGTAGCAATAAAAAGTCAGAATTATTGAAAACATTAAACTTGATATTTATTTCATAATTATTCAGGAAAAAATAATAATAAACATGATGATTTCAGAGTCTTAAATGGAAAACTATACCGAAACCTTTGTTAGGCTTTTATTGCTCTCACTCCATTAATGCAAATGTGTGTTCAGTAGTTGTTTTATATTTCACTTTACTGTAAATAAAAAGTTTCACCATTTTAAGGAACCAAGTATCTGTTGTTTCATCGAACAATAACAAAAACTCCAGACTTGCTCCCAGCCACAGTGCTCTCACAGAGAAAACACAACTGGACACAATACAAATTGGTAAATATAATAACCAGCACAAAAGAGCAGAATCTGTAAATCAAATGAATTTCATTTAGTTATATGTGGCAAAATGTTTCTCTACAGTTCACAAGAGATATCTAGTCTGTGTTACAGATCTAGCAATGAAATACAGAGTTTCAGTTTCTGAAAAAAGAAAGATATTATTTTTGCATGTTTTAACAAAACTCTCTACCTTGGCACATGTTTTGTAAAAATTCCTATGCTGCTGCTCTTAAATTCACTTACATACTTTCCTACTGTAGCAAGTACTTCAAGAAGGCATACTTCTGCTATGTACCAGATGTAGCTAGTTATTGTAATTCCTTTTAGTAGCTATCACAGTCCTTTATTTTTTTCATTTACTTTTTAAGTAGAAAAATAATCTGTCAGCCATAAGAGGCAGTGCTATTCCTTAAACGTAGAGGAAGGTAAGGAGCCAGGAAAAGCCCAGATCTTTTCCACCAAGTGGAAGATGTTCTAGCTTCTACAACGAAAGATGAAATCGGCATCTTGCACATTAGGAGAGTGCCTCAAAACCATGAATTACCTGCTAAGTGAACATTTACACACTTTCACCCCCCCCTTTTCTGGAGATGAATCACCATCTGGCACAGACTGCAAGAGTCCAGGGATCATCCAGACAGGAGGCATCTGAAGCCTGACTCCAGCATAGTAGTGAGAGCACTGATCTAGTCTCTCCCAGTCTCAAGGAGAATGATTTCTACCTAGGAGCTAGAAGCCACCTGTCCTGAGAAAGGCACTTCCTGGCACAAGTGATTGGCTAAACTTTATCACCCCAGAAATTTTCAGGTTTGGGTGTGAAAATTGAGGTCAAATGCCAAAAGTGTTAAGCCTGAAGTCCTAGGACAGCTTAGGACTTAGTTTTAGGCATTTGAGTTCCAATTTAGGTAACCATGTTGTAAACAAAAGCCTCTAAAGAGAAACACATTAATACATATCAAGATTCGTTATATTTGCTCAGCTGTCTCCTTAATCTAAGTAGGTCATGGTAAGTATGTCCAGAAACACCCGCATGTTAAATTGCAATAACAAAACTAAAGGCATCAAGATCAGTGACTCATAATAGGTGATCTTAATTAGATATGAACTTCGTGGTCCAGGTTTGTTCAAGTGACAGAACTAAATATATAAGACTGTGCCACTTTCCTTTACAGCTGGGTAGAAAATAACCAAGTTAAAAGTGCATGCTTCTTGACATGATAGTTATAGGCAGACAATAGAAAAATTTCACTGAAAAAGAAAAGAAATACACTAACAAGTTTTAAGAATTGTCTTCCCAAAAATTATTATTCTATCTTATTCTCAGTATGAAAATGAGACACATTCTAGATTTAAGTTCTGCAGCATTTTCTTTTTTTTAACCCAGTCAATGCTTGCTTTCTATTTTGTTACCTACTCACACCATATTAAGTCAGTCATGTTTTGCAGGAATATATTTAAATCACTTTCTCAGTAATTATTTTTTCTATAAACACTGCTAAACAGACATTTTCCCCCAGTTTTCAGAACTTCTCAAGAGTGAAGTTCTTCTGTTGATTTCTCCAGTCACCGCTCTCCATACGGTCATACACAATAACAACATCAGGCTGAAAAACATTTCAAGTCATACCTCACCGTAGTGAAAATCAGAAAACTGATTCATCTGGGTAGCATACAAACCAATCTAATATTCAATCAACAATATTTTAAAAACATATCAGTTAGTTGAAATATCAATTCAGCTGTCATACATTTTCCCTTTTTTCCTCTAATCTTCATTTTGTATTTCTTATTTCAATTCCTTTGAAGAAGCAGTTCTAAAACTGGCTTTTAATCCAGAATGAGTATTTAAAATAATATTTAGTCTTATCTGTTCTTAATACAAATGTCTGAACTGTACTAAAAATGGCAGTTTATCTCCAAATTTTATATTAAAAAAATAATTAAAAAAAATTTATCCATTCGTAGAATACTTAAGTTAAAATTGTTTTTGGAATATCATCAGTTACATAGAATACAGCAATCAAAAGGAAAGGATTAAAAAAGGCAAAGAACGGGTTTTAATTTGAAGCCTTGATTAAAAGACTAAAAATAAAAAGACAGAAGATTTAGAAATGGTTCATACTGACCTGAGTCCATAAAGGACTGTCCCATCTGGATGCAAACGTATCATCCTGTTCTTCACAGTGACACCATGTACAAATGACTTCTTGTCATTCAGAAAATAGGTATCGGGAACCCACAGCTGATCAGCTACTCTGTTGTCCAGAGTAAGGTTTAGAGGTATTACATTATACGACAGCCTCTTATCCCTCCATGCTTGCTGAAAGTACATTGTCAAGGTATAATCCTGTGATTATAAAAACAAAAAAAAAGTTTGCATTGAAACAGACAGCATACATATGCAAAAAAAAAAAAATGCAAATAGGCATTTATTCATTGCAACTGTTCTTAAAGGCAAACACTTCTGTTCAGAATTTCCATAAGTAAATTTATTTATTTTTACAGTACTGAACATCTTGTGTATACTTAATAACAGAAATGAGAATAGAGAAAAGATGGGGTATTTACATTTTATGAATCACTTGGGAGTTCTCATTTCAATATTTAAAAACAAAACAGAAAAAAATTGTAGAAGCTTAACAGTCTGCAATTTCTGTAGCACTTTACAAGCCTAGGAGTTCTAGAAAACAGGAACATTCACGGATCTGAATTTCATCTCATGGTGTCCACTGTATTCAATAGAGCTCTGGGTCAGGCCTTGTATCTCTGAAGTTGCAGCTACCACCCAAACGCTTCTCTAAATTAAAATCTCTTCAAAGTCTGTTAACTTTCCCCCGGGCACTGAAATCAATGGGAAGTCTCTGAGATTTCTATGCCACAGAGCCTTAGTCTTCTACTTAATTTTACAGATGAAGTAACTCTGGTTACTTCAACGGAACAATTCAGAGAGCACAAATAAACATCTGGGTAAATATTTGCAGTATTACGAGACTTGCTTTGTCTTGATGCAGGCTACAAATGTACAGTACTTTGGAGATGTTTTGATCTTTTGGTGTTTTAGAGAACAATGTAATTACAAAAATTATATTTTTGTAAGTCCTGTTATACAGAGGCAGAATATTCATTATACATTAGAATATACTAAAAAACCTCCATAAATAATACACAAAGGAGCTGTAGATCGGTCAAGGGCTGTAAAACAATACTGAAGGAATACCAAAAGGAGGAATATTCTAAAACCAGTATTTTGTTTTACTTGTTTTACAGAAGTCATAATCAGGCCTCAGACTATTTTGATTTAGAATTTGTATTTAACATGGACTTCATTAAACAGTGAAAACTGTTCGCTTACAAAAGATTGCTTTCAACAGAAAGTCAACAAAAGCTGCTGAGATTATCAGCAACCCCAGGATTCAGCCACGTCAGAGTATGAACGTCTGTATCTATGCATCAGTCTGAGGCACTTGAAAACAAGAAATCTCACCTAACTTAGAATAAATAATTAGCTATGGCGACTACATCTCACAAACTAATTTCTAGCACTGCATAACAGAGAAAAGCATGCAAGATATGAACATTTTACTGCATAAATTGCAATATTAGTTCTCATTAGCTACTTTGTATTTTAAAGAAGGAGAGACCACTATTGACACTATGTTTTTATTACAGTTGGCAAAGAAACATATCTTCCTGCGCTGTAAATCTTCCTGCTAAAATACTTAAAAACCCCCTGCCACAACTGTATTTTACAAGCACTTTCATTTAAAAAAAATATTTGACAGATGAACACTATACAGAACTTCTCGCAGAATACAAAAGTAAAATTTTATTTTGCAGTTTCACAGACTGAACTGTCAAAAAAATCTACAAAAATTCCCCTGTAAGAAATCACTGAAATTTACTTTAAAAAAAAAAAAGTTTTACATTTCCAGAAATTATCTTATTACAGGACAGCCTAGGACTTGATAAACACCAAATCTCACAGAAGGTACATGGAAAAGTTACCTTCCTTGGTGAATGGGAAAACAGACACACTAAATTTCTTCTACTGCTATGCAGAGGGGTGGGTTTCATTCTACTTAACTTCAAGCCCTGGAGACACATCTCTCTCCACTGATTTTAGAGCATCTAGAGCAATCAGTCCTAACCTATGCACATCGGTGAAGCGCCTCCAGTTAAGTGAAATGAATTCAAGCCAGTGTCAATGGCAAATTAAAAAGAAAATGAAAATCAGATATAACTTTCATTCCCAATGTCTGAGTATCCAGAAAACTGTTTTTCCTTTCTTTATTAATGAAACGTTTTATGCATAAATTAGGTTGGTGTAATTATTCACTTTAAAATGTACATAGTCCACCCTTAAAAACACGCATTAGGGAAGGCCTGTGACAACTATGGCTATTCCAGCAGAGTTCTCTAGGCAATGACACAGCACCTAGAAGCTAATTGACCCTGCCTCCTCTTCTGCAGAACAGTGTGTGCACAGATGAATCAGTATAAACTGTTTTTCTACAGAGAGATGTATTTCCATGGTGGAAATACTCTTATTTTTTATGCATCCTTCCCCAGAAGAGCCCACATACATGAGCTTCAAAATGCCTCTTCAGTTTTCACTGAAGCAGGGAGAAATACATGTTCCTGTTGAGAATAGTTACGGCATTTCTTCCTTGTCAACACAAAACCAGAATGGTAGTGCTGTCCCTTCGGCCCTCTTCCTAGTTGTGATGGTTAAAAGTCAATCATCTTCACTTGCTATGCCTTCAGCATTAGCAGTTGCTAATGGAAGTATATACACGGAACACTGCTCAGCTTTGGCAGGGTGTCACAAGCATTAACAAAACTGCATGGTTACAAGTAGGTAAACACCAAATAAGTTTTTCCAATTATTTTACTACCAAATATATTTGCATGGTAACTATTCTAATCTGATGAGTTTTAATGATCTGAAATATCTTCCCCTCCCCACCCCCCCAGGATCAAGATGAGAGTCTGCTTGCAAGAATGTTCCACCTACATCTGAAGAATTTTACTGTTATGCTTCATCACTGTTCTGCAGTATTTGATTCATAACCAGATACCAGAAAATGTTCAGTAATATATTGCCAGTAAGAAAATGTATTAGTCTTCATTATACTAACATATCACAACATAAAGTAGATGAGCTGTAGCGATTGCTCCCCTATTATCCTTGGAATGTTGCATTTTATTCCTATTCTAAGAAATAATCTACATGTTTTAATATATAGCATATATATCTATATCTAGAACATGCTTCCCTCTTTGCACCTCAATAAAAGAGAAAAAGAAGAAGAGGAAGAAAACTAAACATGCATGGTTCAGTGCATAAAAATTAATTAGGTAAAACTGTAAATTTGGAGCACTAGTATAGCTGAAAGAAAAGCCAAGTCACCAGGCTGGAGTTCAGAATCAAAACACACTGTGTTCCAGGAACAGAGCTGGTGTTCCAGCTAAAAGTTATTTGTCATCTGTTGGCCCTAGTTTCAGATGTGACTGGAGTTTCTGATGGTCAAAACAGGACACCTTAAATATTTTTTTTTAAACCCTCACAATCTTTTGAATTTAGGTGGGTTTTTTTTTAAATTATTATTAAAAATAAATGTGTTCCAAGCTACATATTTCAAAGTGATAAGTTAGAAAAAAGAAAAACCCATCACATAATTCATTCGTTAGAAAGGACGGAGTCATCTGTCTTCAAAATCCCAAATGAAACAGTAATTCAAAAAGAAGATGTGCAGGTACAAAATGTCCCTGGAAGTATCCCAAGATGCTTTATACTTTGGGATTAAGAACATTTTCATCTAGCAGAAATACTACAGGAAAAAAGTCTGTTAAACTCATATTAAAGATGGGAATTCCCCTCTATTCTAAGGATAAACATCAAAACAAACATGCAAACATCTTGTCTCTTTAGGAAGACAGGCACACAAAAGAAGTAGAGGAATAGAAGTGGCTAGTAAAGGATGATTTTAATTTTTTAAGGCCTTAGCATCCTATTAAATTCATAGGATGTGATTGTTAGAAGCTCAGTGTAAGTATGAAGATGAAACAGGAGTGAATTCATTTAAAAAGACTAGCACAAGGCAGTAATTATAATTAGCTGAAAGAAATATGAAAACAAACCTCATGATGATTATGTCTGTGTGTACCATTACACAGAC